TTATTATGTTTCCAGTCTGAAAACCCCTCATGTGAAAATTGGATGTATTTTCAAACAAATAACATGGGATGCGATATATTTTACCAGTACTAATTAAATAAGAAAGATAGTCCCTTAGACATATTTTACCATTAATTAATGTGATTTTAAACATATCTTTACTTAGGTACCTATAGTGAGGTCTGAATGTTCCTTGACTTGTATACTGGTATCTTTTAGAATGTGAAAAATTACCATCCAAGTTCTGATGAAATCCATTTCTACATATGAAATCTCTAGTGACCTCGTTTACTATCTATAAAGCAGGATCAGCACTAAAAACATATTGGATAAATAATTATTTTATTTTAACCATATAATTAAAAATAAAATATTAATCTGAAAATATTATTAATTTTCTTATTAATATTAAGCATATTACAATTATTATTTTAATTGCTTACTCTGACTTCTCTGAAGAACTGGATGGTTGTAAAATACTCACTTCCATATCGACCGAAGATATTAGATATGTATTAGTATTTTTTTTTTGAACTTCTTTAATGGATATACTTTGCACTGATGATTTGTAAATAAGTGTTACATTCACACTTTTTACTGAATCAATAATTTCATTGCAAAAACAAATAAAATAATTAGTAACCATTATAAAATGTTTATATTATTAAATTCAAAAAACATTAAGCTAAAGAACAATAATACATGTCATGAATTCATGATTATACTATAAAATATAGTACCTACCTAATTCCTAATATTTCACTGGCTACAGTATAAACAGTACTCACTGATTGTACTCCTAAAAACAGGGTACCTACTATTAATTTATGTGTCTCCAATAATATATATTTTATAACTATAAGTATGGCGGTATGCTCCAATTTTAACATTACAAATTTACATACAAATTGAACTTACTTGTAAACATGTCATCAATTTTCATATTATTCTTAACAATGGTTTTCACTGTATATGTTTTTAGTTTTTCCAATTGTTGATACACACAACTGCTAAGCTTTCTACCCATAATAACAATCTAAAAAAAACTTATGTATGTATAACAATTAATAATACACTAAACACGGTAAAAAGATAAATTTTAAAAAACCACAATAAATTATTAAAAAACTCAACATTTATATTAATATTACCAATACTATTGAATTATTATTATTTAATTATAATACAGTTATTTAATAAAATATCAATAACAAATATATTAAATTTTAACCTTTTTAACATTAAACTGTATAGTTCAAAATCACTTACCTATTTTCGAATTTTTGTTATAAAAATAAATAAATTATAACAGACGGAATCGTTCGACACACTAGTATATTTTAACGTTGATATTTGATAGAGCCACAGAATAGTGCAAGTAAAATAAACATATTATAGTTTTGTGTTACACAACAGCAGTGTTTAACAACTACGCTAAAATACGGGCTGCATTCTGCCTTCTGCGAATTGTGTAATCGGCGTAATCAGTTAAACCAAGGAATCGTTCAGTGTATTCGTTCGTATAAAAATAGACTCAGAGAATATCCCATGATAAACTTCAGCTAAAATTCCAATGATAAATCTACAATACAACACATGGAGAAAAACATTTAATATAATTATAAAGTGTAATTATTCCAAGTTGGTTAGCTAAATAGAAAATAGAAATTCATACAAATTTACCGCCCCTCGAAATTTCACAAGGAGGGCAATTGCCCACCCTGCCACCTCCTAAATATAGGCCTGATTTTATATATTTTTATACCATGACAATTTATAATCTAATCAAGTATAATAAATTGCAAATTATTTATAGTTAATGCAATGTGAAAAATTAGACCGAGTAAACACTTGATTATGTTATTGAATAATTCATATTATGAAAACCGAAAGGTATATTTTATACATTTTTGCTCACTTAATTTTAATTACTGACAAGTAATACAAATTTACAACAATACAAATTATAAGTTTATTATTGTATGTGGTATAATATGCTTATCAAGTATTGATTAGAGGACTAAGGGTCATATAATATGATTTTACCAAATTAAAAGTTATAATAACCGATTGTTTATGAATTCACACCCTAGCTATTAGGTATACTCTACTCATATTATATGTAAACCGTCACCTTATAGATTTACGCACAGTGGAACCTAGGTACCTATATAGTATGACAATAAATTACCAGCGACTACTTTATCTCTGCCCTCTGGATACTCGTCTACAACAAAATAAAATAAAATATTTATTTTTATGGCGTTATCCTAAACTACTAATAGGTATATTCCAGCTTGCCGATGCCGAGACAAAGACAAACAAATAAAGATTTTATAACAAAGATATAGGTACCATAAAAATGTCACATAGCCGTTTATCATGTGAATACTGGTTGTTATGTAAAAATGCATAAATGATTTGTTAAAGGAACGTAGTTCTAAAAGTAAAAAACACATAATATTATTCAAATAAAAGTTATACGGTATTCAAACATATGTTATGAATATAATGGTCTCTACCAAATTATGTCGGAATTAAATTTTCAATAAGGTAACGGAATGTATTTAATAAATTACGCGTGAATTTAAAACCCCGTAGTTCATAACATCTTACATAATATTGTATATTATACTAAGTATATACCTATTAAGTTAAAATGTATAAATACACAACAATTGCCCGTACCGATTTCTTATTCTCAGACATTTTAAAAATGATAAAATGGCATTAGTAAGTAACAATAGTAAATTATTATTTGTTCATGTTAATATCTACATTCAAACATTTTTATATGAAAATTTGAACAAACTAAAGACATCACAAAGAAACATTATTTGTCAAATTATGTTTTATTAAATTTATACATATTTGCTTTAACAAACTAAATTTGTATTCAATTAAATTAATAAGATTTTTGATCTTCGTTTTAAACTTAAATTTAACAATAGGTATATTTTCTTATTTCGACATAATAATTAAATTGTTCCATCTAGATTTCCTATTAATACATTAATCCTAAGTCCTAATTAATAAACTGTTAACATTGTTTTGTGCAATTTATATAAATTTATTGCATTATCATTATTAATACTACATAAAATATATTTTTCTACAAAAATAAGTAAAAAGTTTTCAAGTTTATGATGTCAAGAGACATCATACTTCTGAACCTGTTCACAATATATTTTAGTTTAGAAAACCGAATTAATAAACAATGAGCATTCACGTTTTTTAACACAATATTGCAGTTGAAACAGTTTTATTATTTTGTATACAAATATAAATAAAATATACATATACGATCAATGGTTTTAGAGTTGACACAGTAGCTATACAATATAATTAATATATGAATAATAATATGATAATAGTTGGCTTTTTATTGACTGAGAGACTAATGCACGATAATAATATTATTACCGTGTTATTTATTGAATAGCATAATCTTTCTTATATATGTATTAAAAATGATCACAATCGAACCACGAATGAATTATTTTGAATGACCCACTAAGTTTTGGTAATAAAAGTAAATTGTCAAAATTACAAGGTATCTACAATAATATTTAATCGAATAACAACAAAAAGCCAAATGCCATACACTTTGCCATATTTCCTACGTTTTTTCCCAGTTTATCGTAGTTATGGTAAAAAATCAAATAATAACTTTCTTACTCACTAACTAGACAAAGTTTTTTTTTCAAAAAACATGCTATTCTTGAAATTTGGACAAAGATTTCTGATAGAAAAATTATAATCTGAAACATTTGAAATAATGAAATAGTTTGAGGTAATTTGAAAAATATCGTATTTTTCGTCTTTTTTGGTTTTTCCCGGTTTTTATTATGAAAATTTCTAAGCTATCAAAAACGTTTCTATCAGTAGCTTCATATTAAACGAAATAAAATCAATATCATGTAAATTTTCAATTGGATTGAGATCTTTGATAGAAAACAATATTTGCAAAATTAAAATAATTAAACCAGTACGCCTAATTGCCGTTAATATTAATCAAATTTAATTTTTAGGTTTTTTCCAATTATCATGAAACTACTATCGATATCAAAAACGATATTCTTTTACATTAGCTGTACCTACCTATATTTAAAGGAAAAAAATCGATCTGTCATTTGACACACACAAGTGCTAAAATCTATACACTGAAACAAGATTTCTTTTAGAAAAGTTGTTTCCAGATAGAAAAACAAAAGATCATACATCATAGTTAAACTTGATTATCGCTACGCTCTAAATATAAAAAAACAAATATCTACTTCAACATATTAAAACCAAAATATTATACTCGGTTATACTCATACAGGTTTATTTTGATATCACCAATATGTTAAGCATATAATTACTAGGTACCATTTCTGAAAAAAAATATAAATTTTTGATATTTTAAACTCTGAAAGAAAGAGAATTCGAGAATTTTGAATAACTATAACTTCTAAATGAAATAGTTGAGGGATTTTTTTTGAAAGTAGGTGCCATTAAATAACACATTTTGGAGAAAAATAATTCCGAAAAATCGCTTAGGAGCTAAACTGTATTCGATTGTTCCAATTTTTTTTTTTTATTGGTCTTTATCATTTCTGTTCTTTTTTCCTTTGTTTATTTTCCTGGTGTTTTTTTCCCCCGTGGTTTTTTTGTTTATTTTTTTTCCTAAACTCCCTGGACGCGTAGCTTATCAATGCGTTTATGATGTCATAACGTATCTTTAATCACGATTGATTTTTTGGCGGGAATCAATAAATTTAAAATTTCTCGCAAATTACATCCAGTATTATGTATTGCGGAAAGCTTTGAATTTTTAGCTAAACCAGAATCATTGTACATTTATCTATCAGTCATGGTTGCGATCAACAACAGTTTTTCAAATCGATGACTAATTTGTTTGGTTCGCAATGATTCATTATGATACATTGGAAAAGAACTGTTGGCAACAGTGAAATATTACCCCGGCTGTTAAGTTATCATTTTTTTTTAACAACTACTGTATCTATCAAGCTATGATATCTATATTCTCGTTGGTCGTCACTAAAACTCTCTCAAAGCCTAGTCCGAACAAAATCTGTGTCGTGGAATTGGTCGTTTTATTCTGTATATATTTTACTAAAATGCCAAGAAACGCCAGTTCAGTGGCAAATTGTTCTATGAAAAGGAAAAGGAAGTACACTCGGAGATCGACACGTACAGCTGATAGTAAGTAATTTTATATAATTTACTTTCACCAAATATTCTGCGTATATATATTCTAAATTGGGGAATAGTTTTCTCCTGATAATTTAAACCTAACCTTTTGCTAATATAACTTTCATTAAACTTCTGTCACTGAACTAATTTATCACAAAATGTTCATCATAGTACCATTTTTTATAATATAGTATCTATTTGTTAATTACTCTGGCATCTCCCATAGCTGACCTGCAGTGCCAAATCAACCCATTAGTTACTGAGCAAAATAAGATGGATCTCTATACATTTTGTATTTTAGGTTGATATAAATAGGTGATGTTAGGCTACTTCTACTTGGGTCAACTTTTAAATTTGGTACTGCCGGCTTAATCAATTGAACCAACAATTAGGAAATAAGATTTTTATTTTTGTTGAGTATTAACCACTAAAATAATTTTCTAGATGTACTTAGTTCCGATGTTAATTTTAAAAGAACCAATAAAGTTATTAAAAACACTGATAATAATGATATCATTCATTCCAAGAAGTTAGCTGGTCAATCATGTTATAATCTTGCTGAGTCTGACAAAACCATATTAAGTGACATTTTAAAGGGAATCAAACCATTGAGAAAATCAAATTTTCCATTGCTATTGAGAATGTTTGAGCAAAAAGAACTATCTGTTGAAGTAACTAAATTTTCTCAATTCTAAGTTATATATATATTAATTAAAATGTTATTTAATAAATACATTTTACTTTTTTCATTAGCAATTTGAAAAGTTATTATCTCTAAAGGTCGAAAAATCTACTTTAGATGGAAGTAACACGTGTAAAGAGTGTACAAATAAACAGTTGTTATTAGAAAAAGACTCGTTTTGGCAAAAAAAATATGAATCTTCAAACAAAGCCTTAAAAGAAATAGAGGCTATAGCAAAGTTACATATTAATCAATATGATAAACCATATTTAGAACAAAGGACTGTTGGGATCCAAGCTGTATTATTCACAAATGAGGTAAATTAGTTATAGATCATTTGATTAAATTGTTTATGTTTATATTTTAGTTTTTAGGTGTGTCATCAATGGGTGGCATATCCTTATATCGTTGTCAATATTATTATTTTTAATTTTTCAGTTCTATGTACCTCACCATTTTCTATTATAAATTGTTTATTTTCTTTTTTTTTTTTTTTTTAAAAAAGAAAGTATTATATGAAGTTTAGATTTTAAACAATATTATACTTTTGATTTTTAGAATGTAACTACTTCAACTCATGACAATGTTCCTGCTAAAGGTATTACCAACAATGGCAATAGCTCCACTGAACTTAATACAAAATCTGTAAACAATTTTAGTGATAATAATTGTGTTAATCAGCTTGATGCAGTAGAAATTGTTCCTACACCATCTTCTTTCAAAACTAATGAATACACAATTTCAAAATCGGTAATTAATATGTATTAATTCTTATAAAGAGTTTAATAAATGCTGAAAAATATATCAATAGTGAATGATATATATGCAATTATTAGTCTAAAGCAGCGGTTTTCGCCCTTTTTATATCCATGTACCATTTACACATTATAAAATGTTTCGTGTACCACAATAAGGTTATTAAGGCTTTTTATTATTAAATTTACTTAATTATTAGCATTTAAGCATTTAATACACAAAAGTAAAATGAAATATGTACCTTTATTATTTTTATTATTACTTATGGATTAATTAACTACATTATTTATAATGTTTATAACATTTATACTCATAACTTTTTTTCACTTATCAAAAAAATATTTGTGTACTATATGTTGAAAACTACTGGTCTAAAATTTAAGTATTTATATTTATTTAAAACAATTAGATGGACATACTGATATGATGGAGGTTTTTCAGTGAAACCTCTATTAATAAACGCTCTCAAAACACATTCCTAATAATGGACATTTTTAAATTCCCCACTAAAATATATAGGAGTTAAACCTCTAAATAATGGGCACTAAAAACCATTGCCAAAATAATAATTACTTCTATGAATGGACATGAATAATGTACATTCTATCAAACATATAAGTAATAAAAATATTATTTTTATATTTTATATTTCTTTATCTTAATGGTTTTCCTATCTGATAAATAAAAACTTGTTTGGTTACTTAAGTTGTGTGCTAAATAGTGTGTAAACAACATCTAAAAAGATTGAACTTTCAAGAAAAAAAAGAAATTATTAAAACTAAAGAATTGGAAAATCTTAGCATACAAATATTAGCAAAACAATTTTGCATACATAAATAGTCATATTCAGTAGCCAAATTTCATATTCATTATGAAGAACAAAATATTTTTTAAAAAAAAGAATAATAATTTTTTGATCTTTTGTAAATACCCACTTTTTAATATATAAATATATACCAAATATATCATGTATATAATAAAAAAAATTATAATTTAGTACAATAATAAAAAAAATAGATTAATATAGTGGCAAGAGAAAATAAAATAAAAAATGAGTGTATAAGAAGTAAGAAGAAAATTAACCAACATGGTTTAGGTATGTCACGAGAAAAGAGAAATCAGCAGTATTAAGAATGGTAATGGAAATTAGAGGAGAGAGAAGAAGAAAATCGAAATAGAGGTTGTTGTATGCAATTCAGAATGATATGTTGACACTAAAGAGCAACTAGTGTATGTGAGGTGGGAAATTGAGTTAAATGGAAGTTTAGTATGAGGGTGTCCAATCTTGAGATAGCTGAAATGAAGGTGAAGGAGAAGACACTACAGTATAATAATAAATGTATAACTAACTTTTAATAAAATATAGTATATATATTTATGTAATAAATAATAGGTACTGATTTCAATATGTATATAGCCAATATCTTTTGTGCTTAAAAATTTTTCTCTGTAGCACCTCCTTATAGTGGACATTTCTCAATTCTCTAATACTGTCCACTATATAAAGGTTTCACTGTAGATAGACTACTGGTTGGATTTTTGAGTGATGCAAATTGAGTTAAACACCTTTTAGGTAGACTATAAAGTCTGCCTAAAAAACCTAATTTTTTCAAAGTAAATTAAATATAAATCTTCATATTTTCATATATTATCAAATTTAAAAAAAAAAAAATTGAGGGGAAAATAACTAATAATATTTTTATTGGGAAATTACTAGGGGATATTACTGTAGAGGGAAAGCTTTAGTTCCACATAATACATATACTCCGGTGATTATATTATTATCACAGTAATCAAATTCACAACACAAGTCTTTGGCCCAGTTGAAAATATTTAGTTGTGTAGTTTTCAGTCTATATTAGTACCAAAGTATAAATTATTATGTATTTGGTAGGTAGGTAATTTTCTGAGTTGATCACAATTATCAAAATTAAATTTATCTATCATTTACACAATATAATTTAACATATATAATAAATATTATTATTATTATATTTATTGAAAAAAAAAATACATATAACAGTTTTAATATTAATTTTTTAAATTTTATTTTAGGGAGTATCATCAAGTAATCCTGACCATCTATTATCACCTGTTGTACTTAGAAAACCTGTTCCTCCTGCAATACCTATAAATTCTACCATTATTGATTTGTCAAATGATGACGAAACCAATGTACGTGGGTATTACAACTATTCTACTAGTACCTCCCTTGATTTGACAAGTGAGGATCTAATAAAAATATCAAGTGTATTTACTTTAGCCAAACCACTTAATACAGTTGTTCATGATCAAGAATCTTCATCAATACAACTGGTATAAATAATACATTTTAAGTTCCTAGTTAAATTATATTAAATATTTAATTTTTATTATTAATATTAATTATTGAATTTTGAGATATTAGTTTTTAAAACTTATTGACATTTACATTTACTAATATAATAAAACTTAGATTAATTCAAATTATTTTACATTAGTATTATGGATATAATTAGATACGTTTATAGGTCTTCCAAATTATATTTTACAGTTAATTTCATCATAAACTACTTTTTCCAAAAAACTACTATTTTGTGAGATCTAAAAAAAAGTGGTAAGCCCCTGTGCTTGTGCCCAGTTCACCTCTCCCCTTTTTGCTGGCCTTGTTTACATATTTAGGGAAATATTATTAGCAAAATTATACAAATTAAATCAAAATATAAAAAAATAATTTGTTGTGTTACATATCTATTTTTAAAATGTATTAAATGTTAGTTGTCCTGTTTCTATTAAATTTTTACTAATAAAATACATGAATTTAAATTATCAGCATCCTGCTCCATTGCCTGAAATTCCACGTCAAAACAGTTCTTTGTGTGAAAGTGTAAATCTCCCTCCTGCGCCTAACTTAAATATTCAGAAATCAACACGAGGAAGTAATTTATTTTATATAATATGTGGCTATATTATTAATTTTCTTACTTCTATAAATTATGGTTTTATTTTACAGCAATGTTCCTGTCATGGGATATACCTGCTACTGAAATACCAGTTTGTACTATATTAAGTTATCACATTTTTGCGTACCATGAGGTTTCTAATAATACACCTAAAACAGATATGTGGAAGAACATTGGTTGTGTAAGATCTCTTCCTCTACCAATGAGGTGCTCACTTCTTAAAGTAAAGATACATTATAATGTAAGTAGAATTCAATATTTTTTATTTTTATTTTATTTTTTACAGTTGCAGCCGGGAGAAAAATATTATTTTGCAGTAAGAGCTGTAAATGCCTACAATCAGATTGGACCATTTAGCAAGATCATGTCTCATATTTCATAGTCATGATGTCTAACTATATTAATATATTAGACGGAAAAATAAAAAAAAATAATTGAATTCAATGATAAATAATGATTTACTTACATGTGAAATTTTGTACTAAATTTTTAAAATAAAAATATTGAGAGAATGTTCTAACTGCCATAATTTCAATTATTGAAGTTGTTTTATATTAGCAAAAACTACCTGCACTATAGACTTATTTCTTCTTCTTCTTCAGTATTCAATCCTGAGATTGGTTTGTAGCAATTCTCCACTCTTCCCTGTTACTTGCCTTCCTCTTTGTCTCTTTATAAGAAGTACACCCTTGGTCCTCTATTATTTGTTGCATATATTCCATTCGTGGTCTTCCCCTAGCATTTATTCCTTTTTTCCTAATAGACTTATTTAAGAAACCAAATTTATATCATATTATTATTTTTTATGAACAACTTTCTACTAGCAATTTTGCTCAAGTTGAGTTATTTCTTAAATAGTTATTGCAACAATTATTATTATTACACACCTACTACCTAATAATGTCAATGAAAACAATATATACCTACTTACACAACAAACTAAGTAATATATATTTTCTGTTATAAATTGAAATGTATAATTATAATATATTTTATCACATATCCGTGTTTTAATTAACATAATAATATAACTGTATAAATTGTAATCCTATAATATATATAGATATACTTATAAATTATAATATGTTGACTAGTTTGAGAGCTTACATACCAAACTTTTTTATAATAATATCCATACATAATATAAGATTAAAATATAAATAAACAGTAAAATTAACATATTTTTCTGCTCGTAGGTAACAAATTATTATATTTATACAAATTATAAAATGTCAACGCTATATCGTAGCGTCCGATATATTTGAGTCCTTCCGACTGATGAACGCTTCACTATTCCTTGGTGTTCTCATGATTTTTCCACTTGTAATCAGCCGGCCAAATCCTTCTTGGTGAGCAAACGCATACCCCGATCTTATCGAACGCCGCTTGTGCCTCACAGAAGGTGGTCTTGTTCCTGAACCGGATACTTGTCTCCTATTAACATTTTTGTTCATGTCAAATTTAATTCAGAGATCAATCGATTTAGAAAAATATGTTTTCCTTACATTTGCTTAAGTTGCTTAAGACGAAGTTTGTCTGTAAGGGTAGGTCTTGTCTCTAGACAATACAGTCGCCAAGCTACCACGGGACTTACGATTACGACCACGACCAGTAATGTTACCAACCAAAATGTCGGCTGTTTCATCGCCTTTGAAAATTTAACAAATATAATATGATATACATTATGCAGTGTACCTATATAGTTAATTAGTAATACACACCATCATCAAGGAGCCTACATAGTTTCCTCCGATTAAATAATTGTAAATCCATTCGGCTACGAAAAACAATAACAACGATCCCCAGATTACTATGTGGTTTATAGTCGTCCAGTAAGAGGTGTCAAAAGCTACCTACATGTTACGCGTTTATATTAAACATAAATTATACCTACTCTAATGATCATATTTGATTTGTATCGATAAAAATCCATTTACCTGTATTGTCATTGCTGAAACGAGAATCATTGCAACAACTTCTGCCATATACATATGATCCAATACGTTTAATCCATTTGAAGTCATACCGTAAAAATAGGCTCCTAGGAATAAAAAGAAATTAAGAAGATATGTTTTTATAGAGTTATTATTTAATTTACATCTGGGCGCAATGATAAATCATTGCTAACAAATAATTATTCTGAACGAAGTTTGGTTAAACATGTTTTAAAATGCCTCGATTTTTTAAATTTTCATAAAATTTTGAACTTTAAACGCTTATAAAAAAATTATTATACTACGTTCAACTTTTTTTACCACTAAATCTTACTTAGTTGTACACAGTTTTTTAATTTTTTCCACCATAAAATGTGTAGATATACACATAGATGATATTTGAAAAAATAAAGTACACCTAATGTAATTTTCATCAAAATTTGAGTAAGCGTATACGAATATTTTTATAGAGCCATCATAGAGCCACTTGATACGATGACCAACTTGATGAAAATTAACTTTATTTTATAATATTTTAAATCGCTTTAAAAAAAAAATCCAAAAAAATGTTATTCAAATAAAACTAAAAACTAAAGTTTCAATTGGCTAGGTTACGTTAGCTCAAAAATGGCTAATTTGTATCATGTCTAGAAAGCGGTAATAAGTACTCGTATTAAGTGAACATTTTTAAAGATTATTATAAAATTACAATAAACAAACATGCGTAAATTTTCCTATGAATATCAAAAAATGGGATTCTCAATGCACTATCTTGACAAAATTTACTACAAGAAACAACTTCTGAAGTTTATAATCAAAGTAAGATTTCTGGTAGAAAAGTTGTTTGAATAGTGAAAAATATTTTTATTTTTTTAAATACTTAGTAAATTCAATACATGTTTAGAATCTAAAATGTTACGGCCAAAAAAATTAACAAAAACTATTTAAAAATATAATACCATAAGGTACAAAAAATATAACTAGCGAAGCATATGTTCCCAGCGCAGCACACTTAAAAAATTCTTTGGTGTTGAAAAACATATTTTGAATTCCCGGGGTGTAGAGTTTAGGGTATGCGATACTTTTACGTTCACTGACGTCTTGATCCAAAATTCCGATTGCTAATATCGGCAGAGCGGTATAAAACATATTATAGACGGATATGTAAAAGGGATCGAATATTGTCTGTAATGATTATATACTATTAGAAAATTAAAAATATTTGAGGGTCTCTAGTAATTACATACCTGAGCGCTGAAACCGCAAAAGAATCCGAACCAAATGTGACAGAGAGTAAACGCGACGTTTTTGTAGAAAAAGTACCGTAAAAATTTACACATTCTGTAGTACGACCATCTGCCGTGTACTAGAAGTAATCTCTCCAAAAACCGGAACTGCCCGAGTGAATAATCAGAAGCTAATGTTGCTTGATTGCCTTCTTGGCCTGTAATTCCGATACCTATGTGAGCTTCTTTTATCATCGACACGTCGTTGGCACCGTCTCCAATGGCCAACGTCACGGCATTCTTATATTTTTTAATGAGCTGTACTACCATTGCTTTCTGAAGAGGAGTCACCCGACAGCAAATTACAGCTTTACCTGAAATACGATTTTTAAAAAATGGTATTATTTTTCTAATATAGATATCGCAACAAATGCATTCCGAGGCTTACACTGCGTACACAAATCCACGAACTTATTTTCCAGTTCTGTGTGCAAAGCGTGGACCAACGAATGGCCGTTAATAACTAAAGCAAACAAATGTTCTTCGTCTTCGTGCAATTGAATATCTTCTGATTCGCTATTGTTTATAATCATGTTACCAATGTACATTTCAAACCAATATTTGTCGACAGTGCCGGTCTGGCCCACTCGGATACCCGGCAATCGCCGGGGGCCCTGAGATTTATTCTTTAAATAGGGACCCCATAGGATTACGCTAATAGCAAAAATTAATTTAATTAATTATTTTTCAATTTTTTTGTGTATAAAAAAAAAAAAAAAAGGACGGACATATTTCATACGATGTGTGGGCCACTGTAGTTATAGATGAGAAGTTAGGAAAATAGGTTAAAGCGGAAAATTTAATGTATATCTGTACGCAATGATTAAAAATTGCTTACAAAAAACGATTCTGAACGGAGATCGGTTAATAGTATTGCTTTTTCAACAGTATATATGTCATATTATAATAAAATAAATATTTATTGAAACAATTTGTATGGACCAGTCCCTATAGATTAATTTCGCATAATCTTTTACTAATTTGTTGACGATTTTCGTCAGAATTAAATTTGATATTAAAATTCTTATAAAGTTATAATTAATTATTATTATAAAAAGTCTATGTTGTGTAATTTTTGAATGATTTATTTTTTACAGTTAATAAAGTTGAAAAAAATAAATTTTACCGAATAATTAAAATATTGTTGCAATTAAATTAACTTGATCTATATATGGTGTATATAAGAATATTGATATGATATAAACCTCGTACAGTATTTTAACCGAATTTAATAAATCAACATGACATGCTTAATATGTGCATGTGGTTTCACTAAAGAATGAAAAAATAAATGTAAAACAATGTAATTTGTGTATCAAATATAATTAATATTATTAACATTTCTAGAAGAGTACGAGCGAAGAGAGAAAATTGTTTTTTTAGTTGATAATTATTGAATTTGACTCCTATATTTTGTCGTTTAAGGGCCCATTGCAAATATTTTCCCGGGGACCCAATCATGAGCCAAACCGGTACTGTTCGTCGAGTCTGCTTACTAAAATCGTACGACGCTTGTAGCTATGCTGTTCCTTTCCGATCTCTGTTCTTCCAAAACGCCCAAGATCGAATCATTACATTTATTAAGCTGCTGTTCTACTTGATCTTGAGTGCTACCGTCCAATACCAATAGTTCCATTTCATCGCTTAAGAGACGACACGAGTAACCGATGTTGACAGCCGTTTCTAAAAACGGCGATCGGCAATAGGTTTGATTATATAATTTATAATATTCGTTGGCATGTTATAAAACACAAAAATCACTGCATATATAGTGTGTACCTTGTTTGTCTCCTGTGAGCATCCAAATATTCATTCCCGCCAAGAGCAAGTTAGATATAGTCTTAGGGACAGCATCTTGTAACTTATCTTCGATGGCAGTGATACCTACGGACGAAAAATAAAAGTTTAGTTCCACACCTACTTTTGGATGTATACGTGCATGATATTATACATTATAGTAAACTGTTTTTCTCACCTATTAGCTTCAGGTGAGTTTCAATTTCATTATAGACGTTGTTGAGCTTTTCTTCCCTGTCGTGCCGTGCCGCAGCGGCGTCCATGTATTTGTGTTTCCATGAATCGAAAAACTCGTCATCTATATCCCTGACTGCACAGCATAATGTGCGAAGTCCGTCTCCTGCAAATTCCTACCAATGTGCTGTCACTACCATGATGTTTATCGACTTATGATATGTATACAACACTACTCACATTCAAATGTTGCAAACTCGACGCTTTGTACTCTTCGTTCCCGGGTTCTAGTCGGTCGAATATAACACTGTCGGCCCCTTTACAGTATAGTCGTATTTTCCCGTTTTCCCGAAACACCACAGACATGCGACGTCTAATATTGTTGAAATCGAGAATACACAAAAGTTCGTGCACTCTAGTCTCGCCCATGATATCGACGGTTACACTGTTTGGGGTTCGTTCTTTGAAGACTACGCCAAAGTTTCTGGCCGCCGAAACAAGGGCGGATTCGTCGGGAGATTGAGCTTGGTATTTTAATATCCCTAACAACCATTAAAGAAATATATATTCGGTCCTGAATCATTGTTTTAATAAAGTATCAATACTAGATAACTGATCGGTTTTGAACATAACACTCACCGTTTTTCCAACTGGGCATGACCGTATGACATAAAGCCAACACTTCGAAAAATGTCAGTACCATATTTTCCGTTTCGTCGTTGCGCGGTTGCTTCGCAGCGTCAACTAAATTTTGATCGTACCACAAAAAATCTGATTCGTATTGGGGATTCCAGGAAAAATCCACCGGAGGAGGTCCGACCTGTTGGAAAAACAAATTCACATAATATGTAAATAATCTGTGTATTGTGTTATCGCGTTCTAAGTAGTGATATCAATACCAAATGCAACGTAGAATTTATAGTTACTCTTCTGATGCCCTGTTCTACTTTGTTGTAATGCGAGTTATTGTAACTCCTGATGACGGCGGAAGGTGACTGTTTGTCCATGATGTACGTCTAACGGACGAACACAAATAATACAAACACAGAAAGCTCGGACGGTAACAGTGTAGACAAATACTCGTACATTTTAACACTGTTATTAAAAATGTGCAGTATACCTTAATCATTTCGTTTGATTTTCCGTAATGAATTTCGTCTAGATTGCCGTAAACGATACCGTTTATTGAACATTTGTTGAACGTCATGATGTTCTTGAATAATGATCAAACAATTTAAATGTAATGAGTTATTAGAAATTGTTACGGTTTATAAAGTCTAGATTGAAACAAAGTATTTACCTTGGTCAACGTTCCGGTTTTGTCCGAAAATATGTACTGGATTTGTCCGAGTTCTTCGTTCAGCGACGTTGTTCTAGCTTTAGCCGAAGATCCAGACTGAATGTCGTACATCTGTTGATCCCAATTTATAAAAAAACTCTGCACGAAACGTACTACTTCAACACTACCAAAGGATATTATTGAATAAATATTGAATACATAAATAATATGTATTCTATTTCAATCTAATGTAATATAGTATACAAGTATGCATACCTTACATATAACGAAATTGGCACTAGTGTATTGAGAACGATGGCGTATGAAAAAGACACCAATGTCCCTATGGTTATAGATCCAGCCAACCTTTCGGACGGTACTAGAGAATCCCACGGTAAATAAGTTTGGAAATACCAACCAGTTTTGTATTCCCATATAACCGATCCGATCATACAAGACAAACACAGTAGGAAAAGAAACAATACAATCTGTAAATTAGTGACCACGACCAAAAAAATGTAAAAAAAAAAAAAATTATTTTTAGGAATTTAAATGAACCTATATTTCATTACGCATCGCTACTTACTCCAACAATGAGAAAGTTGAGGAGTCTATCAATATTCGTTCGCTTGAATTTCGATTTTCCAGAGTTTTGCATGAGTTTCGTGTCCCTACCGGCAAAAATTACCATTCCATAACACCATTCCGTGTTTCTCAGAACACAGCCTCTTAAGATAATATGATCGTTATTTAAAATCAATCTAAAAATAATGTGTATAATTTCATTAATAACAATATATTTTTTGTAATAAGAACACATCATAGGTAGGTGCACTGCAGTAAGTATACATACTCTTGTTTATTCCACTGCAAAACGCCGTGAAATTTATTGAGCAAATTATTTGGGGTTTCGCAACGAATGAATCCGTCAAAATTCACTACTTCATGAGCGAGTTCTGCTAATTCGACTAGACATTGGCGACACTTAAGGTTAGTTTCACTGTAAAACAAAAACTAAAATTAATTCGAGTAATGTTATATTTTTACGCCGTGTAAAATAAATAAACATCATTGTGAAACCAATATATTTTTCACTCCGCTCAGAATCTAAAAAATATAATCGTCTAAAAACAAAAAAAGCTCTTGGAATTTGAAGACAACATTTTTAAAGCCATTGACTTCATTGTGCCAGATTACTAGTGTATATCACACTATATTTCGGTTATGTTTATTTTACTATTATTTTGAAAAACGTTAGTCCCCCCTCCGGAAAAAAAATTAGCTGAATCCAACTCTGATAGAGTGTAAACATTTTACCCGTCTAGTTCTGCGGTTTCTATAAAACACAATCCGCTTGGTTCGCTCGTGGAAAGTAACAACACGTCGGCGGCTACGAACTGCCCGTCTTCCATTAATATCACGTCTCCTACGTGTACGTCTTTCCATTTTACGTTTACCACACGACCATTTCTCACGGTTTTCGAGATACGGTTGTTTACCTGGTCGTCGTTGGCATGCCTTTGCTAGAGGGCAATAACAAAACAAAACCCCGACACAGTGACAAACAAATTATTATTAGTATCTACAATAATAATGTTATTATCTGTTTATACATAGTATTATATACGTACGTAATCGTCGTAGGCGTCTTTTATGGCAGAAATCGTAAGCACTCCGACCAACGGTATCGACGTGGTAATGGGAGTCAACGACGAGATTATTGATATCATTTGCAGCATCATTAGGCATAGGAAGTAAAAGTTGGCTAGCCGCTGAAATTGTTCGAACAAATTCAGTGGCAGGAACGTTAATAGGGTGTATTTCGATGTTTTTATGTAATTTGTCTGCGAAAAATTACAAACATAATATGTTGTATAATTTATTAATTTGTATTATAAATTATAATATCAAATATATTATAACGTTCCCATAAATAACCTATTATTCTTACCGCATAGTTGAACTGAGCATTGTAAGTCGAATCGTTTGCTTTGATGAAGCGTTCTTTTTCTAAATCAAACAATTTTTCGATATTAATTATTAAGGTTATCAATTATCATAAAAAGGTTTCATAAATAAAGTAAGAGAAAACTCGGGGTTAATAAAAAGCGAATACGTATGTAAATTGTATTAATAGTTGTAAAAAGAGCTGATACTATACTGATGAGTGTGTCACTGTTGTTGGTGAGAAATTGAGAAGTTATAGGATATGTAGAGTAATTTAATTTATATCTATAGGCAACGATAATTAATGTCGAAATACGATTCTGAGCGAAGTTTGGTTTAACAAGTTTTTAAATCTTGTTGAGTTTTACGATTTTTAATTCGGTTTTACGAAGTACAATAAATCAGCTGGATTAGATGGGATTCAGAGTGAGATTATGAAAACACTAAATACAGAAACAATCGCGAACACACATAAGCTAATAGAGCACATATGGGAAGATGAGATAACACCACAGGATTGGAATTCACCACTAATTTGCCCAATATACAAAAAAGGAGATCTGCATGACTGCAACTACAGAGGTATTGCGCTGTTGAACGTCAGCTACCCGACCAGCAACAAGATGTTGGCGTACTGCATTCTAGACAGGATCAAACCTCGCACATAAGAGCTACTGGAGGATTACCAATGCGGCTTTAGACTGCAGAATAGGTCAACCATAGATCAAATTTTCAACTTAAGACTGATTTTCCAAAAGGCATGGGAATTCGATAAAAATCTGTGTATATTATCCGTGTACGGGGGTTCACGCCCTAGTTGCGCCTATGAATGTGTTGTCTGTCGGAAAAGTCGGCATAGGTATTGCAGTTCGTGTATTAATATGAGGAACCGAAACGTAAATGGGAAACTGTATGTGCCTAATCGGTTAATTATCTGTTCGATATTTTATCACAGGATAAAAAAAAACCCCGTGTACATCTCATAGAGCTTGTAAAAACGTATACGCAAAACGAGTACATAATATTTCTTCGGAAAATTTTTTTTTACCATAACCACGACGCATATTTTAATTTTTTAACGTTCCGCAGAAATCAACATTGCTTACCTATTATGTATCCATACGAGTATAATATAGAAAATAGACACGCCAATATAATAACCCGTTTGGGTTCGGATTTTTGAATTTTTAAAATACACGGTCGATCCGAAAACCAATAATTTATGGGACGGTATATACCTAATCCTATATTTTATTTTATTACGCACGTAATTATTACTGGTCGTAAATATTATAACATACCTAATAGTCAAATTATAATAATAGATATTACCTATATTACGCGATGAGAAGTTTTCGCATACATGATGACGCGCGCACACTCACCACACCGATAGTTTTATTTTATTTAAACGAATTCCGAGAAGAAGAAATTGACAATACAATGTATATCTATGTGTTTGATATTATCTCGAATATTTACTATTATCGCGTTAAGTACCTGTATAGCTCTTCAAAATTGCAATACAATATGTCAACATCGATAAAAATTTTATACATCAGCGGATAGTTACTCAGAAATATTAACCGTGAATAATTTATCGGATATTCGTCGTCATCAATCATCGTCGTATATTCTGTTGTTTTTTCGTTAATACAAACGCCGACGGGTTCCAGACGATACTTTCGCGCATATACACAACATATAGACACAGCCGCGTGTCCCGCGAGAATATAAAATGGCGAGATAATGCTCGGTGTGTTTATAATAATATAGTTCTATAAAACCGTCATTTTTAGGTGACAGTGACGCCGAAGTCAATTTTAAAAAAACTTATTACGCGCGGTATAATAAACAAATTGACCGAAAAATCGGTACAAAAAAGGTAGTTGCGCAAAATGTGTTATAATAATATTTATTTAGCGACCTACGCTAGGTATTAGAGACTTTTGAACGTTGATTATTAATATAAAAAAAAAAAAAATTGCGTTATCGTCCACTACATAATACCGCCCAACGAATAACCCGCGAACAATTTAAAAGTCGATGTTAGGTTTCTACCCAAAACAGTAAAACCGAACATCCCCGCCGTATTATAATCATCGTTGTTATTATTATTTTGTGTTTATGGTAAATCGATTTTCCGTCTATAATAAATGTATACAATATATTGACGGACTGTTCACCGATACATATATTATTTACAGATATCGTGGCCCTGGAATTAGAACAATGCGTACATATAAACACGCGTGTATAGGCAGGCGCGGACTGGCTGCGGGGGTGCTGGGATTACACAGCAGGGCCGGCGTTAAACGATTCGCGAGGCCCTGGATAAATTTATATTTTTGCGAGAATTTTTTTTTTTAATAATCTAATAATCGTAATGCTACCCAACACTTGGCCACGGCCGGAAATACTGTTTGATAAGACAACGTGCGTGTATGTGTACGTGTATTTCCCGAAAACGTCGTTACATTTCTATAAAAAAATATTTTTCCAGTTTTACGCCCATTATAATTACGCTATGCTTTTGTATGGGCTCACAAGCGCGAGGCCTCTGAAAGCGCGAGGCCCTGGACGTAAGCCCCGCTTGCCCTACCCTAACGCCGACCCTGCAGTATACAGCACCTAATTCCCGACGAATTATTTTTCGTCCCGATCTGTACGAATTTGCCGCAATTGACACATTTATTTAAAACGAATATAAATTTTTAGTAACAAAGTTATAATTATCCGATAATATATAGAATAATTTGTTTATAAAATTCTATCATCGATTATTTTCCATTACTTTAAATAATTATTTAGCATTTTCTAGACGTAGTGTTAGTTTAAAAATATCCGAAATTCGTTTTGTTTTTTTTTTCATGTGGACGACAGTATAGCTACCTTTTTATCAATATTTTATGTGAAAATACGTTAAAGACACAAAAAAATCGTAATTTATTGTCTAGTTACAAAATAATATACGATTTTAAATTCAAATTTGTCGAAACATGTTGAACCGAACATGCTTCATATAGTCGTTTTTCGTTTGCATTGATTTGTCATTACCTACATCACTAGTACATCATTTTACCCCAACTTACGACAGTGGCCCGGCCCGCTCAGGCTACCATTGTGCGTAGTACCTCTGTTGGAATTTGAAATTTATTTTATTATAATAATTTGCCCAAATTATTGATGATATTCGTTCTGAAATGATGTGACATCCCATGCCTTATTCCACCAGTCGGCGTTATACTACCACTATATTTTTTTTTTTTTTTTTACGAAAAAATGTATTTTATTTTCTGTGTTATTGAGTTTACAAATTTCGGTAAAAATTCGGCAAAAACTGTTCCATGCCGAGCCTTAATCGTTTTAGCAATGTATAATCACTCTGTCCGCTTTTTGTGCGTATAAATAACTGAATAAAATGGTGTGCACAGTCAGACGGTGTAATATTTTGTGCATGGCTGTGCAAAAATACTATATCGAATCTTTTTGATCATACAGTAACATCAGTTATCGTACAGTTATTATTATTAAGTAGGTTTACGTAAACACTAAACATCGCCGCTGACGAGTGATGTGTTTATTCGATGAATTTGTTTTTTTTTTTTTTTTGACATCAAATAAAAACAAAAAAAACATCTAGACCGATAAACATCGCATCGCGTATATTATTATAATGAACGATAGTGTTATGAATTGAAATTTTTGTTGAAAAAAAAAAAAATGTTTCAACCATTCGCGGATATTGAAAAACCGTGCAGCACGTTATAGGTACTGATAATAAGAACGACAAAAATTACGTTTATTTTATTTTTATTTTTTTTTTTTTTTACCTGGAGCACTCGAGATCATTCCGTAGTCTCATCGAGGTGTTTTTTACGTCCACGGTGCGTGGTGCTGGTACTCACTGGAGGCCCACTGGCTAGTAACTGTCACGCTCCGAAACGTCGGTGGTGGCACGCGAGGGGGGGGGGG